CTCGCCTCTCCGCCAATTAGCGCTGGGCGTTTTATTTAAACAGCCCGAGCCCGCGGGGGCACCGGGCCCCGCCGCGCCGGAGGCTGCCGAGAGCCCGGGGCGGACATGGCCCGGACCTGCGGGGGCAGCCGAGCGGCCGGCGGGGAGATGGCCCCGGCCTGCGGTAGCTTGAGCGATGCTTCAAAATTAATAAACAAAACCGTGGCTTTAGCAAACCTCCACGCTAAAAAGCTCTTCCCATATTATATTAAAAAAAAAAAAAATCACGCAAAGACAATTACTTTTCTAAATAAATTTAATTTACAAAATATTTTAAAATAAAAAGTAGAATGAGACGCGCAGAAATGTGATGGAAAAAAAAAATGCTTCATCTGTTTATCTTTCATGAGCTTTAAAACTGAAAGACATACAGAATGCTGTGTTTCCATGCTGTTTAAAACAAAACAAAAAAAAAAAGGCAGAAAGCAAAACTTTGCACACGCCCCCCTGCAAGAAATCCTGTGAATCAAGCACTGCTAAGACAAAAAAATTTTTACTTTTCCGTAACAAACAAAATTACACATAGGACTGAGTACTTCTACATTTACAGTACACTTCCTAACTTTTCCTTACAGCAAAGAATTTCCCCTAAAAAGACAACTTTACTTAAAGACTTCCATCTAAAATATCAACCTATACAGATCACATTTGAAACACATCATCTCATATACCAGTGACAAAATATTGAGTTTATTTAACCTTATTCTTTCATATAAAAGGACCAACATTTAAACATGATCAAAACGGTTATGGGGGATTAAAAATAATTTGCCATGGCTACCTTTAATTCATCAAATCCTTTTAAACCAAAACGTTTCTTAGGAACCATGAAAAAGATCCTTACGGGCTTCAGCAAAGTGACTGCCCTGCATTATATTCTGCCAGTGTCAACCTTCGATGCACGCTAAAAAACAATCAAACCACTGTGAGATGACATGGTAGAAAAAGATCACATGTGGCAGAAGTCACAAGGACCCACACATAAATGCACTCTATTTCCCTTGAGCTTCAGTCAAACGGAGAACATGCAACCTGCATCAGTTATGCATGTATGCTCAATATAGAAAAAAATCACATTTTATTTACTGTTTTCAGGGAAAAAACCTGTTCATCTACAACCACCTTCTCAGAATTCATTCATAATTCTACATTCACGAACTTCTACACAGAAATTATTTTAAATTTAAAAACTTGAGGGCCATTTATGCCTTAGCACTCCATAACACATTCCACATTCGATCAAGCACATTACGAGGCGATTCCTTCAAACCATTCTTCAGAGTTCGGGATGCTCTTCCACATTTTTTACTAGGGAAACTTAGCTCTTTGATGATACAAAAAAATTCTTTTGTCACTGTGTTCTGGCATGACCCATCTTTAAAAATAACTACCCAAATTATAATCCAGACTAAAGCAGCACTATATTTTAAAGGAAACCACAGCCTTACAGAAGATATATCACCACCATTACAGTTACTGATGTTCAGCATAAAAAGAACCCATGAGAGCCACACCTCTGTAGGAAAAGTGTCAGTGCTCAATAGAGGAAATTCCAATATAAATAAATAAACTGAACATAAAATACACTTAAAGAATTAAAGGCAGTAACTCAGTCAACAACCAGAAATGTGCTCAGCAAAAAATTACAGAATTCAATGTTTAAACAGAACAAGTGCAGTAAGTTCTCAGAATGACATAGCAGTTTAGAGTACCAACATGGACTCCACTCTTCTCTACAAAGGTCAGCATGGGGAAAAGACCAACTTTTTGTAATGTGCCACTGATCATTCTTTAGAGTTATTTTTAAGAGACCTGCTTCTTCCTTCTTTGGCAACAAATGGTCAACTGAGTCAATGACTGCCAGATAACACATAGCCTTTACTGTAAAAGCGCCCTCCAGATCAACAGGACATGCACCCCTTGATGAGTACATATACATATTAAAATAGAGGTACTGGGCACCTATGGAGTTTCAACCCATGGCAGCTGTGAGGTGCTGATCTCTGCCCTTCAACTCCAGTCCTCTTAAGAGGAACTGTCCTCCACCAAGCTGAGATCAACTGCTTCCACCTACCAAATGAAGTACCAGTCCATGAAAATTCACTTTGCTCATATATTAATTTTAAATAGATGTAAAGCCCTAAGAATTATAGCTCATGGTATTAAAAAAATAAAAACTATGTATCTAGCACATAAGCTTTCCTATTCTCGTTCACTGTCAGCTGCAATGATCCAGCCTGACCAGCAGGTAAAAACACTAACTAGTAGGGTTATCTGCAAATAAAAGAACGCCAAAGAACTGGTATGTCATTATTTCCAGGAATGACTAGTAATTCTGGTCACCCAAACAACAAAGACAGTGCTCGTTTTTCTGAAAAACGAGTTCTTTTATAACCTCTTTCTTGTTGGGCACCAAAAAACATGAAGCCCTTTGGAAGATATTGACCGTAATGTTTTCTGAATAATCAACTGAACTAGAGAAAAAGCCATTATTCAGAATATATATAAAAGGCACAATCATGAAAGAATTTTTAAAAGGACATTATCAAGTAAATATGCTCCAAATTCCATGTTAGAATTTTCCTAGAGTGCCTTCCAAACAGACTGAATTTTAAAAGAAAAAAATTAGTTACCAAATATTTTTAAGCCACTGTTTTGTCAAAATCCTACAATACTTTTTTCCTACCATAGGACAGAAAGGCAAGTAATAAGAGTTAGGCTTTTTAGTCTGAGAACTGCACTGACACCACTGATGTTGGGTTATTTTTAATGGTATAATTACAAATGCTGGAAATCATGTTTCACGTCCACATGTGGTAATATGAATATGATACATACATGTCAACTCGAAAACTACACATAAAATAGCAGTTTTCAAGCCATGGAGTGTAAAGATGACAGAACCTGTTTTATTTTGAAAGGAGATCAAAGTGAAGTTAGAGGGCAGGAAGGGTAGTACTTGATAGTGTCCTTTCAGAAGGTGGCATTCAATGGCCTCATTATTGCTGTATATTTGCTAGTATTCAGCTTCTTACCAGATATATTTATAGCATGTCAGTCTGAACATTCCCAGAGCACAGCTCTACATTTTACTTTAGAGATATAAAGACAGAACAGTTAAACATATGCAGTCCTGTTTTAGAAACTGAACTTTTAAACTTTAGGACTTCTATTGTGCTTCTTTGGCCAAGTCCTATTTAGATATCGAAAACACTTAAAATTCTATAACTCTGACACTATTTAACAGCTAACAGAAATCTTTGGTGTGTTTAGGTTAAGAATCCATTAGGGTATAAGCTTCAAAATACAAACATTCAGGCAGCTCTGGCCCCTCTCCTGCAAACTGCTCAACACTGAAGTAGATGGAGATCAAAAGAATCTAACATAGAAGTATTTGAATAGCATCTAAAATGATCTGTGCTGCTTGGAGTTTATAGAACTGTGATGACAAAAGAGCTTTCCACCACAGATCACTTGTGCTCAGGTCACTGGATAAATTTAACAGTTACAATAATACACATACATCCAGTTTCCCATTTTAAAGTTTCTTTAAGATAATAATTTAAGAATATGGAAACCTGGGGAAAATTGTGCCTTAAGATGTAATTCTTGTGAGGAATAATTAAGATTATAAAATTACTTCAGATACTTTCTTTGGCATAATATTCACCAAACAAACAGAACAATTAAAGTAGGCTTAAAACAAGAAGCTTGCTGAGGGCAAACTACACTAGATTTCATGGTAAATTACACTAGACTTGTAGTTCAAAATGGTTCTTTTGGAAAAAACCCTTATGTCTAGTAAAGAAAAAGCTAAAAATAATTAAAGACATAAAATAATCTCAAGAGTTTGACTTTGTTTTATAAACACGGTACAAGAAAGTGAGAAACAAAACAATTTCATTAGCAACTCATAAGAGATTTATAATTACTGATTATTTATTTTTTTAATAGAAGTTGAGTACTGTTAAGGAAATAATAGCCTTTTAATCCCTTCTTGATCACAGATAACCTGAAAATGGGGATGCTAATGTGGGACGCTGGTGTAACTTATGCTCTAAAATAAACCATGTCCATGTCCACTCTGCATGACTGTTCATAGATTAAAATGACCTTGCAAATACTCTCTTTTTTTTCAAAGTTAGAGTATGGGGCACACTTTAGAAGACAAACAAGATTAAAAAAGCATGAAAAAATGCTTATTAAAATTACACAGGACTAACTGTAGAAAATTAGACAATACCATTGTCTAGATCTTTCCATGTAATTCAGTATTAGAGATCAAAGAAGAATTAAGAGACCAAATTTAGGCATCCTAATTATTCTCAGGGCGACCACCAAACACCGTTTAGTGTCTTCCTAAAATATCTGAATCACTTTTCAGAAGAACCTAATTCCTGTGTCCATTGGTTAGGCTCCAGTCTGGCAGACTTTAAAACCCTCCAAAAATGCCTGAGGGTTCAAATAAAATTATATTTTAATTTCTGTGTGAAACATAATTCAAAGTTTGTGTTTTATATCCCTGCCCACCCTTACAACTTTTAATGAATATACTCCTTCTTCCAGAAAATGCTTTCTATTATACTTAAAACATTCATTCAAAGTGAGATGCAGAAAGGAAAACATTTTTTTTAAATTAATACCCAGATATGTAATTATGTTTTTCAGCCACTATCCTTAAAAGATATTTCAGAGCATAATTTTTAAAAGACCATCTATAAGATTTTTAAAAACTCTTAAAATCACAAGAAGCACTTTTTCAGTATGCATCAAAATGTGCCTAAATGTTCAAATATTATGTAAACAAACCTGTTTTTCCAAAACTATGCAGAAGACTCATGAGTCCAAATAAAATATAAAATATAAATCTTAATTGCCATATCAGCCCTCTGTTGGCTAATGGCTTAGTAAATTAGGTGGAATGTTATGGTCTGATCATGAATGTTCATTGTTTGAAATATTCTGTACAGTAGGAGCTGTATCTAGCCCCAGTAAAGTTCCAAGATATGACTGGTCTCTAGGATCCAACATTTGCTCAGGTCTTACAGGATGAACAATATTTGCAGGTTGTGGAGTAAGAGTATATTTCTCTAGAAATGAAAGGTCTGTTGCTCGTTGATAATCTGACTGCTCTGGTTGGGGAGGAAGAATGTCGTGTGACTGAGTAGTATGCTGGACTAGATCAGCTTGTGGATCAGACATCTGAACTGGTACCAGAGTCACAGGCACACATACTTCTGTAGATACATTCTGTAGCAAAGTTTTGGCTTCTGATTGATATGGTTTGGGCTGTTCCACATACTGTTTATCCTCAGTTTGGTAAACTTTGTCATCAGAGGTGTACTGCACTGGTAAGGAGACTAGTTTTTCCTCTGAAGAAGATGTCAATGCCTCTTCTGCAGCCTTTGATCCATGAACATGATCAATATGATATTTCAACTTGTCTTTTCGTTTAAATGTTGCATTGCAGTGTTGGCAGTTAAAAGGTCGAGCATCTGAATGAATAACCATGTGTTTTGTTAATGTCTTCTTAATTCTAAAAGAGTGATTACAGATTTGACATTTGTAGGGTTTCTCACCTATAAAGACAGGAGTAAGAATTAGTCACTCTGAGTAACACTGTGTCACACATAAATACACAAATACATCATGGATTATGGCACAGAGACCCAGTATAAAACAATTTTACTGAAAACAAAGAGCATATGTTTAGCATCAATTTTGGAATCAAAGGAGCCAATAGAAGTTTGTTTAGAAGTTACATTAGCATATCCTTCTCCTTACATACAATTTTCTCAATACTTGGGATTTCTATCAGGTGCACACAAAGACAATCAGAATACAAACCAAATAAAAGAGAATAGTCTTCAAACTGTTATGATATCGGTATTAAATGAGCTCAATTTGTACTGCTATACATTTCAAAAGGACAATGATTTCCCTAAACATAAGGCAGGAAAAACAAAGTCAAACATATAAGGACATAAACCTTTCCAAAAGGATTTCAAATTCTTCTTTAGATTACTACTTGAAATGTAGTATTCTCTGGGCCACAAGAATGATTAGAAGGTCTGGGTAAATTTGGCAATAACATACACTGGGAAAATAAAGGAACAGGTGTAGAGAGCATATCACAAACTTGTGTTGAGGATTATCAATATTCCAACTGATACATTCAGAAGTTAGTATTCAGGAACGACTTGACATATGAAAAAGAATTAAAAAGTCATGCTGCTTCCTGCTATTCTTGCCCTGAATGCTCAACAATCATAACGAATTAAATAATTCCATCAATGTTGATGTATAAAAATACATTCCTACATGTTTTGTGGTTTTGTTGGGGCTTATTTTTACCTGAATGTGTCCTAAAATGCATTTCCAAACTTGATTTCCCTTTAAAAACTTTCTTACAGACTTCACACTGATGAAATGTTGCTTTATATCTTTAAAGAAGAAAAGACATTTCATGTTAGATACTTTCTTTTTTAACTCAACTAACAATAAAGCTATGTGCACAGTCCTTTCTGCAACCTTTAACTGAAAAATAGCTGAATATCGAAGTTTCAAATTTCCTCACTTACGTTCATATTTCCTTGTGTCTGCATACCAATGTCAATTAAGATTCTATTCAATTTTATTCTCTGCTGAGGTTGACAGTATTCAAAGAGCAAAAGTCACTAAAACTTCTTCTCTGACCCCAAAAATATCATTAAGTAACATTTTTTGCCCAACATCCACTAGAGACTTTCACTTTGTCAGAATTATGCCATGAATAAAGTACTAGGAATGGTTTAGGCCACTAGCTACTAAGAAAAAACAGAGAATAAGCATATAACATACTATACTTTCAACACAGACACATCTACAATGGCTTCTACACAATGCTAATGAGTACAAGCAGATAAAACACATAATTTGAAAAACAACTACATCTCAGTTTATTTGAAAATCTCTGAAAAGCTTATTTTTAGAGCTCAAGAATTTAAAAACGCTATTGCATTATCAATTTCTAGACATAACTCAGGTTTCAAACTTTTTACCTACTTTCAGAGCTACTAATCTGCTACCAGCTTCTAAAATATCTGTGTGAGATAGTTCTCACACTGCATAAATGATGTCTAATAATTCAGTCTTAATTAGCCTGCAATGACAATATTACAGCAAACCATCGATTTAGAACAACTCTGAGACAGCTAATCGACAAATATTCTGCGTGAACATGCAAGTCCCAACAAAATCAGTGACAGTACCTAAGTGTTCACTTAGTTATAAAAAACCCACACTTACTTCTGCCAAACTTTTTCTCCTAGATGAACACTTTTATAATGAACTGTAAGGTGATCTCTACGGCCAAAACATTTTCCACATTCTTCACACTGATGTGCTTTTTCACCTACAAGAGCAAAATTCAATAATTTTTGATTAAATATTCTGTAACTTATTAAATGTCTAAGAGCTGCAATTGTAAGACATACAGTAGATCCATGTTCACAAAGTTCAGCCAATCAAGCTCTTCCATACCTTACTCAGAGAAGTATTCTCTGTTATCAAACAAAATTCAGGAAGTAGATTGGTTCTATCAGAGTAAGGTTTTTTACCATTTGTTATGGTATATGACTATTACTGATTGTTTATCATTTCTACAAAGAAAGACACGTTCATGAGTTAAGAGACACTTCACCAAACACTCACTGCACGAGTGGTACAAGTGAATGACTAGGAATCTCTTCATTATGACACAAAGTGTAGTATCTTCAATAATTCAGGGGCTTTAAAAGAGAAGCTTATTTAAACATAATAACTATTTTCAGTGACTAATTTTTAGAACTTAAAATTACATCACAGTATTTATCTTTTTAATTAACCTGATTTACATAGTTACCTTTTTCTTTTATGCTGCTGTTTAAAAGTATCTTGATTCTTTTTAGTCATCTTGAGATCTTCCACAAAGTGGCAGAATATTTCTTCTCATGTAAGTAGGAGGAGTGTGGACAGTCAAAGAATGTAACTTTCTAGAGGGGGGAAAAGCAAATAGAGTAGAAAAGAGGATTTTTTTTTTTTTTTGTACTTGAGTTTTCAGAGATTTCTTTATTTTATAGCAGACATGATTTAAAACACCAAAAAAGAAGCTGTCCTTCAAAATAAAGACTCGGGAAGTTTGGACTCTGATCACTTTCATATTTTCATGCTGCCCAGAAAATATTTTGCCTCCTAGAAGGCAACATTCCCTTTGGATCCTGTTCTGAAAATGGAAAAGTCCCTAGTGAATCTTTGCTCTTCCTATAAATTTGATAACCTTTCTGCTCTCAGTGCAACAGAAAGATTTTTTTTCCTTACTCCTGATCATCCCCAACTGGTTTCTTCTCAGGGCTGACTCCCACCACCTTCCTTCCTCCTCTCTTCCCCATAACGGAGACTTCAGAAACACCTCTTTGATGTTCTTACATTAAAGTGATCAGCGTACAAACTTTGACAGAGACTGTGACAGCTTCCTTTGTGTTGTGGTAATAATGTTTCACACAATTGCTATTAAAAAAAGAAATCTGAACTCATTAAAAAAATCCTCCTTTTTCACTTTTGCTTTTTTTATTATTATTTTTAAAGCAATTCACTGTTACATGTTTTTGACTGTCCCTCGGATTTCTATGTTAACATGGAGGAAACACTTGCCTTTTAAATGTTGCAAACATGGAAGATTAACCCTACTTTAGTAGACCTTAAAAATAGTAAAAGGAAGTTTTAGGAAGGCCTAAAACATTGCATGTATTGAAAAAAAAAAATCCATAATACATTTTTTATTTGATCTTACTTCAAATAGTAATTTCAAAGCCAATTTTTAAAGAAAGTGCCAACCTGAATGTATTTTCTTGTGTTTTGTCAGATGGTCATGCCGAATAAATGTTTTCCCACATTCTTCACATTCATATCTCTTGTCATCATGGTGGACTCTTAGATGAAGTCTGTATATTTATAGTCATAAACATAACCACAAAATGCAATTTTGTTAACATAATCTGTACTGCTAATTCAATGCAAAATACCAGAAAACACAGTCTTTAATGCTTCACACAAATATCGGGAAATAACTTTCAGTTGAGGCATACTTAAACTGCTCTTAGAAAGCAAGAGAACAGAGCTATACTCTCATATCTGACATTAATTTAGCAGAATATTTTAGTTCTCTGCTTATTTTCCCTATGAATAGCAAAGATGCAAAAGTTTTAGATGTGCAAGAAAGTCAACTTTGATACAAGATTTGTACAGTATTTTGTCTGTGTTTAAATCACTACCGTCTTGTGTTAAAAATTAAATGACTTCTCACAGATTACTAATATATTTTTCATATTTAGGCACATTTAAAGCATTTACTAATGCTCTTAGAGTTGGAATAAATCAAAACACATACATCACAAATAATTTTGTAGAGAACATGAATGCATATATGTCAACAAATAAGTGAGATAGTTTATCAACTTATTTAATAAAAATCTGTACCTGTAAGAGCTTCCATGACGAAAACTCTGCCCACAAATACTGCAAAGATGAGGCTTCTCTCCACTGTGAATTCTCAGATGTTCTTTCAAAGTTGTTCTGTTTAACAAAGGCAGTAAAATTTACTTTTAAGCAATGTCACTGCCACTTTAAAGTCAAACAGACTACCAGTTTCTCAATTTCTTTAACTCTCATGGATCACAATATATCGAAATAACTGTATCAATTTCATAGAATCATAGAATCATAGAATGGTTTGGATTGGAAGGGACCTTAAAGATCATCTAGTTCCAATCCCCCTGCTGTCAGCAGGGACACCTTCCACTAGACCAGGTTGCTCAAAGCCTCATCCAGCCTGGTCTTAAACACTTCCAGGGAGGAGCAGCCACAGCTCCTCTGGGCAACCTGGGCCAGTGTCTGACCACCCTTACAGTGAAGAACTTTTTCCTAATATCTAATCTAAACCTCCCCTCTTTTAGTTTAAACCCATTTCCCCTTGTCTTGTCATTAGTTGCCCTTATGAAAAGTCCCTCCCCAGCTTTCTTGTAGGCCCCCTTCAGGTATTGGAAGGCTGCTATAAGATCTCCCCGGAGCCTTCTCTTCTCCAGGCTGAACAGCCCCAACTCTTTCAGCCTGAATTTCTTCAGAGACATGCACATATACATACATTCAAAGGCAGTATGGCAACCTATCTACTACCTACTTAACCAGCTGGGTCTAGAAATAATATTAGCAAAGAAACAAAACATCATCCCAACATAGATTTGGACAACATACATTAAAGAAAACATCAATTTCAACACTATTTTCTATGTAATAATTTCATTGTTACTACATGTATAGTATAGCCAGACTTGAAGGAAATCCAGATCATGGATTTTAATTTAACTTAACTCAGCACAGAGCTTCTTTAAATACATATATATTTATAGACACATAGATACATATACATATGTAAGTCTACTGTTACTATTGCCTTTCCAATGTAAAAAAAAAAAAAAAGTGCATGCAGGTGAAAATTCCTCTCAAGCAAAGAAATCAGACAATAAAATCTGCTGTATACGCAGCTGGTAAGTGTGTGAACTAAACAAAAGAGAAAATTCTTTGATCTCTTTCCAGTACTTATTATAAATATTATTTTTCAAATATATTTTTTATTTTATAGACAAAAAACCATCTTTTGTAATGAGACCAACAACATTTAAATATTCAAGTGTCTTAGATAACATAAATGAAACTTGAAGTGTGTAAACATACTGACTTTTTTTTAAACATAAATTCTTCTTGCAGTTCAAAGCAAGCTTTATAGAACTGAAAGACTACCTGTGCTTTATAGCTTTTTTGTTTACTATTTCATTATTGCAATAGTCCATTTTTTTTAAAACACATGCATACCCTATTGACCAAACTACTAGAAAATACACACCACCAACAAAACCTACTAGGGACAAATCTTCCTTTTATAATACTTCCAGGAGTCTTTGCTAGTCATTAGAAAAAAAATTAAAATCAAGAAAACAAAGTAGTACACAAACTCAGATCTTTTCATACTCCCCAAACAGAACATAACTAGAATCTTAGTCACAGTTATAGAGATGAAGCTGTATTCTCTCAAAATAATATAAGGCTTATTGTTTCAGGACCTAAACATAAATCACCACTTGGAAAATTCAAAAGATCTCCCTCACAGAGCAGTGCAAGACATCCATCCGACTGAAGCCCTGTTAACAACCATTTAAAATTCACATTTTTTTCCCTTATACGTGTAGAACAGAAATGGGGGGGAAATCTAATTTCTACAGCTTTTCCATGCTCTTTTTCTGTATACTAGAACTTATGAGCCAACTTTTAGAGCTTCCACTTTTCAAAGTGCTGAATTTCTTCCATTTAGAGAGTAGCAGCAGAGGCTGCACAGTATTATTCCATCTTCCATGAAACAATGTTTGTGGAAGTCTAAATTCTTCTTAGTCATCCTCACCAGTGTTCATCTTTCTGTCCTCATCAGTATATTGAGTAAGATATCTGTGGCAGAAAACTC